GTGTTACGAGATCGCACTGATAACCTTTGAAATACTTTCGTTGCTATTCAAAGCTCTGAGAGGGATTGTTAATCTTTGAATTCCAATTTGAACCTATTTACAAGATTTATTCAATTTTTGCACTCATAATCCAATTTTTGAAACAACAATCAGATATATGACACATGGCATATCTAGATAGTGAATATGAGAAAGGTTACATATCTACTTATGTACAGGCGCTGTGCATTCCACGCAATGAACGTTGTGCGATTAAATGTATCAATTTGGAGAAGTGCCAGACGTCAGTCGATGAACTTAGTCACGAGATCCAAGTAAGTATTGAATTTGCGATAATCATTTTACTATGTTGCATATTATTACATGAATTACAAACAGTTACTTAATGCAAAAGTACTAATGTAATGGTAAATACCTGTTCTGTTGGTAGAATTGCATTCTGACGTTGATAACCGTTGATCGTTGATGCTTAATCAGCTGCAGAGAAGCTATGAATGGCTGTAACTTGTTTTTACTTGACACTCATCTTTATCATCGCCGTTTCACGTGAATAATAATGCAGGAATGCTGAGTTAGGCAAAACTGGACGAATCGAACAGCACTCTTACCGGCTATTCAAACGAGTCTGGGAAATACTTAGTAGTTGCACCGCTGGAAGTTGTTTCTGTCCAGTGTAAAAACTGTCTCTAGATAATTGCTGGTTTAGGGCTTCGTTGAATTTCTGCATTCTAGAAATCAAGCTTCAAATTAAGACACGCCTGTTCGAAAAAAATCATGTGGAAGAAGTTTAATTGTTTTCAGGCGATGTCATTATGTGCGCACCCTAATGTAGTCAGTTATCATACATCGTTCGTTGTGGGAGAAGAGCTTTGGGTAGTTATGCGATTGTTGAACAGTGGTTCAATGTTGGACATCTTAAAAAGGAAGATCAAGGTAGGTGGGAAATTTACTTCGGGATCTACGCGAGTATGGTTTGAAAACGTTCCACCCTTGATTTGTCAGGCTATCGGGAAGGAGCAAGCAATGTATGGTGTATTAGATGAAACAACAATCGCTACTGTATTGCGTGAAGTATTGAAAGGTCTTGACTATTTTCATTCTAGTGGTCAAATTCATCGCGATATAAAGGTAGGCGAGTTTTTGTGGTTTTCGGATGCCTTATATTAATTTGTAACTTTTTCACTCACCTTTGATAACTATTTGTGAATATTAAGGCGGGTAATATTCTTATTTCTGATGATGGTACTGTGCAGATAGCTGATTTTGGTGTATCTGGTTGGTTAGCGTCATCCGGCGGTGATCTATCACGTCAGGTATGCAAAGTTCTTTGAGACGGTCCTGCACATGTGAACTGCCGGCTATCACATAGTGCATACGTATGCAACAATTCATTAGGTGACATATTTCACATATAGGGACGGTACCCTTTAAACGGGCCTTAGAGTTGGTGATTCTTTCGAATAAGCGAAAACAGTGCAACGGAGGTCTATCATTGTGAGCTCATATTATGCTATGAAAACTGTTGTTGAAGATGTTTTTTGACTTGAATCTCTGTTCTCTCATCTGTGAAATCTTCCCTCTTCACTCCTCTGTCTTCACGCACTACACTTAATACCCAAGATGTTTAGTCAGTCATAGTTGTCGAGTTTCCATCTGAACTTTTTCATGGCGCTGTTGCATTTTCATGCTGCTTTCCGAGGCTTACTGGAAAAGATAATGAATACTTGTTCCCGGCTGGCCTTTGTTGCACAAAATGTGATCTATTCGAATCCAATTTCCAACTCAGCCGAATTCTAGAATTTGTTGTTTGTTGTATACGTCATGCCTATGGTGACGAAGGTTTTATGAGGATATTTTGGATTTTGTGGAAAAGTGCTGCTTTGAAGTAAATCTAAGATGCGTTGGCTTTGCGAAAGAATGTGGTTTGGTTAGCTGAGTTATATATGTCTACCTACTGCTTTTATAGCTGAGTCCGTAAATTATGAAACGCTGACAGTTCCGGAGGATATTAGGATTGGTGGTTAGGTTGAGCGTCTAGAAATACGAACTAAAATTCACCATAAGTTAAGAATTTTGCCAAAATTATTTTATGAAGACGCTCAATTTATCGCTCCCTAAATCTTCCGTATGTTGCATCGTGGACCGAATCTCGAAATAGGTCTTTTGTCGTGTAACACAAGTGTTTGCGTTTCAGAAGGTTCGTCACACATTCGTCGGCACACCTTGCTGGTGGGTTTTGGCCTCGTTAATTCGGGGTATACGGTAGGGGGATAGCGTGGATGTTTTTGAATCATGTTGCTGGCTATTTCACAATTAACAGTAGAATCTTATCATATTAATCATGTGCTAACGAGATGGTTCGGAATATCCACGTTCGCGGCGTGGGGTGGGTGTAAGATCTGGTAGGGCGGGAGACGGGTGCGGCGCGCGTGGGGTTAGGTGGGACTTGGGTTGGGTCATGATCATGGGTGGGGATCAGACCAAGGAGGTAACTATTTTAGGATGGCACCAGAAGTGATGGAACAAGTTCAAGGATATGATTTCAAAGCTGATATATGGAGTTTGGGAATTCTTGCTATTGAACTTGCTACTGGTACCGCTCCATATCACAAGTTTCCACCCATGAAGGTCAGTTTGTAGAACTTGTTCTTATGTTTTCGTTCATTTCTGCATTTATTTATATGTGAAACATTTACAAAAATCATGTGAAAGGTAGTAACGGTTATGTCATCGTCATAAGTCAAAAGTATAAGATCAGTTGAATGTATAGCAGTAATTGAAATGAGAACTCACCTAGATTATCAAGAATTCTATCGCTAAAAAAGTTCGAACTACTCAGCTTCTGATTGTGGTTTCAGTACATGGTCATGAGCATGTGCTGTTTATGTTTTTTCTTCTGAAAAAATTATTTAGGTGTTGATGCTCACGTTGCAAAATGATCCGCCTACATTAGAGACAAATGCTGATAGGAAAGATCAGTATAAAGCCTATGGGAAGTCGTTCCGTGCGCTTATTAAGGACTGTCTTCAGGTTAGTGCTTCTTCAAATAGAGCTTCCTTGAGCGAAAAATTCTTTCTTTTAACAAGGTTTGAGATGATTGCCTTATTGTTGCTAACAAGGCTTGTTAAAGAAGGATCCAACGAAACGTCCGACAGCCTCAGAACTTCTTAAGTACTCGTTTTTCAAAAAGGCGAAAGATCGCAAATATCTTGTTCACTCGTTGATAGAGAATCTCGCAGCTGTACCAGTGATCAGTCATCATAATACTAAGAAGGTGGGTGTCTGAAATATTCTGACACAATTTTTCCAGTTACTGGTTCTTTTTTGTGCTCCGCATGAGCTTATTCGAAACCTGTTTTCAGGTTGCATCGGGAAAACTGCGGAAGGA